CTGTGTACGGAAAAATTTTTGAAAGGGGCATTATTATTTATATAAACAGGAAAGAAAGTAGTTTTATGTTTAAAGAAATAAGCCTTGCTCACATAATTTGTTTGGTTTAATGTTCCTATGATACCGGAAATATTTGTATAATTGTTTATTCATGAACACGCATCGCTTAACCCTTCTTGAACTATGACATAGGGGAAAGCTTGGTAATTCCGGTTTGTTTGTTGAAAACAAAAGATCCTCAAGCGTGATTTGACTGCATAGTATTGTCGCTTATTACTAAGTCATTTGATTTGAACAAATCCGTGAGTGCTAATTTCGTAACGTAACCTTATAAGAGGTCGACTTTAAACCAAGGTCAGTTAGTATTTGGAATAGATATAAATTATTAATGTTCTGGAATTATACGCATTTAACCAACCCGAGACAAAGGCGATCTCAACCGTTACGGCCTGTTCCGTAACAATTAATTTCATTAAATAGAGAAATGTTTCTACTTTCAAAGTCATATTTGGTTTTTGATGATATGTAAATTCAATTCAGTGAATTATTTCAAATATCTGAACATTAGGTGTGGCGTAATAGAGGTCAAAATTTAGGTTAAATTATATTCGCTTATTTCAGCCAAACGTATCTTGAGTAAATATTAGTAACAAACCAAAGGAGGCCCACAGCGATATTTCTTTACCGCTCGAGATACATCAATAATTACAACTCTCAAGGTACATAACCCTGTTACGTACCTTTCGTATATCAGGGCCTCCGGTTTCGGTCAGTCCATTCAAGGAGTTGACCACAGGATTCAATTCACACATGTTTATTGACTATCGGTTTCTGTACAGAGGCGTTCCTTGATGCAAGGGTATACAACTGAGTGCCCGCCCTGGAAGCGCGCTGAGGCAAGGGTAGATAGTTTGGGAATTTTCCGGACAGTACAGCGAGCCTACCCAAGTTTAGACAATTGCCCCTTTTTTGGGGCATCGAAGGATGTCGATGACGTGAACCAGACGAGTGGCACTCCGACCCACGGGCATGCTCGAGCGTCGGGCTCTCGGTGCCCCGCATAGTCTCGAGTGACGCGCCCGGTTCTTTCCTGATTTATTGCACTACCCTTGAGTGGCTTTTTGCTGTAACTGCCCGAAGGAATTTTGGTGAATGCAGAGTGTGTGACCGTTGTACGATTTCTATGGTTTCCCCGAAGACAAGAGAGGTTCGCTAGGCTTGGAGGTTATGGACGTAACATCCCATTAACCTTGTGGCTCCGGGTGTTACCCATACACCGGTTCGTCCACGTTCTATAAATGCTCCCGGTGTTAGCCATACGTCGGTTCGTCTACGAAAAGTCTTACCTTCGGCTTCCCGTTCTAGCCATACCACAGGGTAAACCTCGGGCATGCTCGAGCGTCGGGCTCTCGGTGCCCCGCATAGTCTCGAGTGACGCGCCCGGTTCTTACCTGATTTATTGCACTACACTTGAGTGGCTTTTCGCTGTAACTGCCCGAAGGAATTTTGGTGAATGCAGAGTGTGTGACCGTTGTACGATTTCTATGGTTTCCCCGAAGACAAGAGAGGTTCGCTAGGCTTGGAGGTTATGGACGTAACATCCCATTAACCTTGTGGCTCCGGGTGTTACCCATACACCGGTTCGTCCACGTTCTATAAATGCTCCCGGTGTTAGCCATACGTCGGTTCGTCTACGAAAAGTCTTACCTTCGGCTTCCCGTTCTAGCCATACCACAGGGTAAACCTAACATCTTATGGGATTTTGTGTCCGCAGCACGGGGGCCGAGAGAGCCCTTACCATTTCCGTGTCGCTCCCAACGTCGTTTTGAACGACGTCACTGTTTCAAATCGTGTGACAAAAAGTCCTATAAGATGATTGATCTACCCTATATCTCGTCTGTGGTAAGACAAGGAAAGAAATACAGGTAGACAATGACAGCACTAGAGAAAGGAGTTAGACAAGGATAAAGAATTTTTCGAAAACAAAGTAACGCCATCTCGTGTTTGGCTGCGCGAACTAACAGCTCTTTACTAGGAACACAGAGTGTGAACGAAGGTATTAAACAAGGAACGCACTACTGTGAAAGAAGGATAGAGAGAAAACGTTTCCTATTGGCCCGCAGCCCGCTAACATCCGCCATCTTGACACTAAATCAAGTCGACCGGTTTAAAATCATTAATAACTCAATAATTTCGAAGATTTTGTGAACTTTTAGAATTAAAGAATAAAGCGTGGACCTTTAGCAATTTTCTCATATAGGTTTTAATGCATTAGACCCTTTCAATAATTATTTATTAACTATTTTAGTATGTGATGCCGGGAACGATACTGCACACCTTTACCGTTTTTCAGTAATTTCGAACTTTTCTAATGATTCTCATGTAACTAGCTGTATGCGTCTAAAAAGCAACTCTCTTAGCTACATTCTCATATAATTTTTGTTAATGTATTTGGTTTAGTTTAAGAGTTATTAAATATATGAGAGAGTCCGCTATTCATCGTACTCAAGTATAGTCAAATGTTATAAACAATTGCTAATATCTGATAGACCATATCACTTACGGCTACAAAAATTATTGAAGAATATAAATGAAAGTCTATTCTACATTCCACATGCTTCAAAGTGCATAATTAATGACGCACATCTATTGAAATAACGAAAATGTGTTACGATTGAATAGGACGGGTTTAATACTCTCCCAAAGAATGTTAAGGAACTATCAAACCACTAGGGGTCTGTTAATAAAAATTTTATGAGAATGTAGCTAAAGGAGTTGCCTTTCAGACGCATACAGTTAGTTGCATGAGAATTTACTGGAAAGCTATGAAATTATTGAAAAATCGTAAAAGTATGTAGTATCGTTTCCGACGTCACATTCTAAAATTGTTAATAACTAATTATTAAAAGCGTCTAGTCAATTAAAATCTATATGAGAAAGTTGTTAAAGATCCACACTTCATTCTTCAATTCTAAGAGTTCACAAAATCAACGTAATTATTGATTTATTAATGATTTTGAACCGGTCGACTTGATTTAGCGTCAAGATGGCGGATGTTAGGGGGCTGCGGGCCAATAGGAAACGTTTTCTCTCTATTCTTGTCGCACAATATTGCGTTCCTTGTCTAATACCTCTGTTCACATTCTGTGTTCCTAGTAAGGAACCGTTAGTTCCCGCAGCCAAACACAAGATGGCGCTAGCTTTACTTTTGAAA